CCCCAAAACCCCAAAACCCCAAAACCCCAAAACCCCTCGAGATAAGCTATTTTGATTTACTAATTCATGAAATTAAAGAGTAGAAATTTGTTCAGAAATCTATTTAGATTCAAAGTTGAACTCAGTCATCTTTATTTCTTTGATTTTATAATCTCTGATTGTAATCGTTAGTTTCAAGGATAAGATCATTATCAGATTCCTTTCTCATCTTTTAATTCAAAAGACTATCACTTTAATCAGAGTCTGAGACTTTTTCAGCTTGAAGTTTCCTCTTGAGACAGAAATGTCTAATCAGCTAAAATATTATGGTGAATCCAATCAAAACACCATAGCTTATGCCTACAAGTTCTTTGTTGAAGCCATCGAAGAAACCGATATCAGCGCTAACTTCAGGGGGTTTGCATGCTTTATCGCAATATGCGCAGGTGCAATTCTAGCAATCAATATAATTGTCAAATATTCCATTAGTAGGAACCAACTCATCACAGGAGTGAATGTTATCAATCAATGAATGCTCATAGTCGGTGCTAAATAGAAATTTGATTATAGATTTTCCCTGCTGTTTGCCATTAAATCCCTGATATTTTATTATTCAAAATGCTTAGTTTACCAAAAAATCTAGGAAGGCTTCAGAACTTTGAAGAGAGGCGGCAGCAACTATTGAGACCTTTGTACATGATTGAAACATCGTACAAGCGTAATCAGGATCCACAGTGAAATTCGTGAGAGTTAAATTACCATCATCTGGATCCATTTAGTAACCAGTTGCTTGAACTAAAAGCATTTTAGCATTAAGAAATAATTTTACCGAATTTTGTTTTTTAAGGATGGCAAGTGTAATCACACCACATTCTCTTCAAGTTTGCAGCGCAAATTGAACAATCCTTTCCAAAAACTGAATCTATTGATCTGAAATTGTTCGCTATAGTTTAATGATTTCTCGAATTATATCATACTCATTATCTCAACTTAGTCATCATTGCAGCATAAATCTCCTGACTAATCCATAAATGGGCAGATTAACTTAAAGGCATCCTGTGAGTCTTTTCTCTTCAACTTAGTTGGTGTAAAGTAAGAAATCTCTGGATTATTTATATGGGTGGGGTCTGCTCCATTGGGACATTTTGATTATTCCATGGTCGGATCATCTGGTCCTCTAAAGCAATGCTAAACCAATACACAAGTCTCTCCAGGAGCAGGCCCAGCTTTCATTGCTTAAGCCAGCATTATTTTTTCAGCATCAGGCTTATTGCATTATTGAGGGAGTGCTCCTGCAAGTATTGCCATTGAAAAGAGAATGACAGTTTTCAAAATGATTGATTGGGAATTTATCATAGCTTATTTATAATGATTATATCATCTTTATAATAATTTTACCTTTACAATTTTCTCAAATCTTAGATATTATTATTTCTATGAATTCGTGTTTACGGGGTTTTGGGGTTTTGGGG